AGATTCAATAGAAACGTGCCATGTCAAATTCAACAGTTTAGTATGAATGCATCAATACAAATCAGGTGGAAAGATAAATCAACCGGAGACCCTGCAATGGTCCTGTACGGCTGAATCTAGAGCTCAAAATATCATCTAGCCGGAGTCACCTAGTATGACCTGTACGGCATTACACTGCACATAAGTCGGAATTACCTAATGTAATCTGTACGACTTAATGGCGTAATAATATGCTCTAGTGCTTTTCTCATCAATCATTTGTGCATATAATCTAAGGTCACCTACCAGTCGGAACCCCTCTAATGGTCTGTACGACTGGCATGTCGGAACCACCCCCGGTGGTCTGTACGACTAGCATCTATTTGGATCCAAGGTGAGCATGCGATGCAGGGTGAATAATATAAGCACTAATACCAAGGTGCAGTTTATGAGCTCAACATATCTCAACATCATCATAACAGTAATAATACTCACCTGATACTCACATGTGCGTCCACCGCACCATTTCACATATATGCATCATACAACAATTCGTAATATTCATGAAATTCTATGCATGGCAACCAACTATATTCCATATCACAATTCAACATACTTTTCATTTAAGTTGATTTCTGGGGAAATCAGGTATATAGGTATATATATAGAAAGCAATTGCCCACTCACTGGTATGTCGCTGGGTCGTAACCCCCTTGACGCCCCTGGATATACTCCTCCTCGCTATAAGTCTCACCTTCCAAAAATTCCAAAAATCGGCCAAACGTCGAACTCAACGATCCCGACGTCCAAAACTTCCAAACGTTACACTCCGAGCATCCTTGGAACTTCCTAAGACTCGCTGTGATCTTAGTTTGGCCTTAAACTGGTACCTACGTGATCGTGAAGTCCTCAGGAGTGCAATGGTGGTCTTAAATGGAACGTTGGTACAAGATTGTGGTGGTTCTTGGTGGTTGCTGTGAGTTCGAGAGTAAGAGAGAGAGAGAATGAAGTCTGAGGAAGAGAGAGAGAGTGACTGAGGAGATGAGAGAGACAACAAAACGGGAAATGGGGAGGGATTTAGGGTATAGGACCCCACCTAAAGTCCAAACACAAAATTATTAGTCCAAGTTTAAGTCTAACTAACAATAGCTTAGGAACTTTAGATAAAACTAAATGTCAAATTTACGCACCTTAATCCCGTTTAAGGTCACTTTTGTAATTTCACATCCTCGGTATTAGTAGTTCCGGGACGGGCTGTGACAATCTCCCCTCCTTATAGAATTTCGTCCCCGAAATTCCAGTCACTAACCAGTATCAAAACTCATAAAATAGCCTCGGATACATATCCCTCATCCGTTCTTCTGTCTCCCATGGGCTTCTTCCGTTGTATGGTTTCTCCACAATACTTTTACCAAGCTCACTGTCTTATTCCTCAAAGTCTTATCTTTCCAATCCAGTATAGTCACTGGTTCCTCGTCGTACGTCAAATCCGGATTAATTTCCAATGGTTGAGGAGGAATCACATGTGAAGGATCTGAAACATAATGCCGAAGCATCGAGACATGGAACACATTATGTACCTTAGACAACCCTGGAGGTAGCTCCAACCTGTAAGCAACTTCACCAATCCTCTCAGTGATCTCATAAGGTCCAATGTACCTGGGACTTAGCTTTCCTTTCTTTCCAAAGCGAACCACCCCTCTCCAAGGCGATAATTTCAAAAATACATAGTCGCCCACATTATACATTCTATCCGTGGTATGTCGATCCGCTAGGCTCTTTTGCCTATCCTGGGCCACTTTCAGGTTAGATTTAATTACCTGAATGTTCTGAGTAGTCTCATCCACAATCTCTGGGCCCTCAAGTATTCTTTCACCGACCTCTGACCAACATAATGGAGTACGGCAAGCTTTTCCATAAAGTGCTTCAAATGGAGACATTCCAATACTCGAATGAAAACTATTATTATAGGCAAACTCCATCAAATCCAAGCGATCATGCCAAGAGTCACCAAATTGCATTACAGAGGATCTCAACATATCCTCGAGTGTCTGAATAGTTCTCTCTGACTGACCATCTGTCTGTGGATGATAAGCTGTACTGTAAAGCAATCTAGTGCCCAAAGCTTCTTGAAAAGCTATCCAAAACTTAGAAGTAAACCTCGGATCTCGATCAGATATGATATTCACTGGGACACCATGATACTTTACAACCTTCGAAATGAATAACTTAGCCAACTTATTTAAAGGATACTTCTCCCTTACTGGGATAAAATGTGTTGATTTGGTAAGTCGATCTACAACCACCCAAATGCCATCAAAACCATTTTGTGTACGAGGCAGCTTATACACAAAATCCATCGTTATATTCTCCCATTTCCACTGGGGAACGGGAAGTGGTTGCAATCTTCCAAACGGTTTCTTTCTTTCAGCCTTAACCTGCTGGCAAACAATACACCTACTTACATACTCCGCAATCTCCCTCTTCATACCCGGCCAATAGTAAAATGGTCGAATGGTATGATACATTTTAGTTCCCCCTGGGTGCATAGCATAAGCCGAACAATGTGCTTCATCCAAGATTTGTTTCTTCAGTTCCTCATTATTAGGCACATACATTCTGTTCTCTTGCATAAGCATACCATCTGATCCTCGGATCTTGAGATCTTTCTTCTTCCCTTCATTTCTTAAACTGATCAACTCTTGGATTTCTTCATCCAACGATTGAGCTGCAAGCACCCGATCAATTAAAATTGGCTTGACTTGAAAATTGGCAAGAAAAGCTTCGCTTTGCTCTTCCAATTCTAACTCTACTCCAGTAGATCTCAACTCTGCCAGAAGAGGAACACGACTGGCATACAAAGCGTTAAGTCGCCCTTGAGGTTTCCTACTCAGAGCATCAGCTACCACATTTGCACGACCCGGATGGTACTCAATCGTGCAATCATAATCACTTAACAATTCCAACCATCTTCTCTGACGAAGATTAAGATCATGCTGAGTGAAAAGGTACTGAAGGCTTTTATGATCTGTAAAAATCTTACATTTCTCGCCATAGAGATAATGTCTCCAAATCTTCAAAGCAAACACAATAGCTGCCAACTCAAGATCGTGAGTCGGATAGTTTCTTTCATGAGTCTTCAACTGCCTAGAAGCATAGGCAATCACTCTACTATGCTGCATCAAAACACAACCCAAACCATTCAAAGAAGCATCACTGTAGATCTCGAAGTTACCATTATCATCAGGAAGTACTAACACCGGTGCATGAGTAAGGCAATATTTCAATTGCTGGAAACTTTGCTCACAACTTTCATCCCATTCAAACTTAACATCCTTCCTGGTTAACTTTGTTAATGGCAAGGCAATCATAGAAAAGTCTTGAACAAACCGTCTATAATAACCTGCCAAGCCAAGAAAACTCCGCACCTCAGTGACCGTTCGAGGTTGTTCCCAATTTTCCACTGCTGCTATCTTTTGAGGATCCACTTGAATTCCCTGAGCTGATACCACATGTCCCAGAAATGCCACTTGATTTAGCCAAAACTGACATTTACTAAACTTGGCATATAATCGGTGTTCCCTCAATTTCCTTAACACCAAGTTAAGATGTCGAATATGGTCTGATTTCGACTTAGAATATACCAGGATATCATCAATAAAAACAATAACAAACCTGTCAAGATATTCCTGGAATACTTCATTCATCAATCTCATGAAAGCTGCAGGAGCGTTTGTCAATCCAAATGGCATAACCAAAAACTCATAATGCCCATAACGAGTCCTGAAAGCCGTTTTATGAACATCCTCATCCTTAATCTTTAATTGATAATACCCAGATCTCAAATCGATCTTAGAAAACACACAGGCACCTTTGAGCTGATCAAACAAATCATCTATACGAGGCAAGGGATAACGGTTTTTAATTGTTACCCGATTCAATTGCCTGTAATCAATGCACAATCTCAAAGTTCCATCTTTCTTTCTTACAAACAACACCGGAGCTCCCCAAGGTGAAGAACTAGGCTGAATGAAACCTTTATCAATTAACTCTTGCAATTGAATTTTCAACTCTCTTAATTCCGCTGGTGCCATTCTATAAGGAGTCAATGATATAGGGTTCGTACCTGGAAGTAATTCAATCGAAAACTCCACATCTTTATCTGGAGGCAATCCAGGTAAATCATCTGGAAATACATCAGGATAGTGTCTGACTACTCCGACTTCCTCCACACTACCGTAATCAACATCATTCAACACCACATGTGCTAAGTATCCCTGACAACCCTTGGATAACAACCCTTGGAGACGGAATTGTCCATATCACCAAGCCAGTTCCACCATAATTGTCTATACAAACCATGTGGGACAACACCATCAGCTTAAAATTGTGTTGTAACGAGGAGAATAACTTATTACATGGCATGGATATGCGGTGACATGACATCTTATGTTAAGAAAATAAGGACATATAGACATAGACATATAGACATAAATTTACACATGTCTTTATTTCATTAGCACGGGACGCAATCGTAGCAGTGTATTAAAGGCTTCAAAATTAAAGATTAAAAAAATATGTACCAATGAATTAGATCTGTAATACGTGCAAACGGATTGGAATATTGAGTTGCAACAAGGAGGACATGATCTTTCTTTGGCCAAATTATATTTATACCCTTGTGGTGTGGTTCTTCAGATATTTCGCTTAAAAGGGATAACTAGTTTCAATATTTGCAATTGAAATCGTGTAATTTGCGCAAGCTTTCAATTAAGGACAATCCATTATATCATGAAACGAGATTTGATGTTCTGATCACAAGATAAAATAACATATGGAATGGCAAATTGACCATTAATTAATTCGGAGCGTGGTAATCAGTACATTATACATATACTAAAACCCAACACAAAAATTTACTGTTCATTAACAGTGTGATTCCCTTTTTGCCCCTTCTTGATTTGTTTAATTTAGTTTGGACCATTTTACACGTGTTGTCTCTGGTTCGTTTTCCTTTTTGATTTTGCTCTGCTTTTTCGGCCCCTGTCTCCCATTTTTGCATCTCTCTCTGCTCGAGCTGGTTAGCCAGTCTATGGAAATTTCGTCTTTCTGTCGTCGTTTTCACCGCTTGCTATCAAAGGTTTTGTCTGCTGCTTTCTGATTTGTCAATCGTTATTACTGGGTTTTTAATTCTGTTTTAGCCGCTGCATCTGTCCTTTTCTTGGTGAGTTTTAGGACTTTCTCGCTGTCGTTCATTCCATTTTTTTTATGTTGAATTTCCACATTTGCATGGATTTTATGTATGAATTTCTTTTTTGTGCATGTCCTTAGACCCCTGGACTGGATGTATGATTTGGTTTTGTTTTTATATCAGGAGACGTGGATGTCCGTTTTTTGGGAAGCCTTCTCTGCGTATGTGAAGCTAAGGAACAGGTGGTCACATCGGAGGATTATTCGGTATTTGCTGTGGCGTTTTTCGTCTTTGTGAAGGTATGGTGCCAGTATGATTGTTTATGGTCAGAGTTAAACATTAATGGGTTGTGTTTATTGTTCAAGGTTTTCTGCAATTGTAAACTTATACGAGCTAGAAGCCCTTTTTTGCAATTTATTTGGGAATTTCTCTCTCACACTCTTGCAGATCCCTCTTCACATTTTTTGCCAGAGAATCAATGTCGCCGGCCTCTGTGCCCACCAGCCATCACCACTTTAGTATTACACATGAAACTTAGGACATGCAAAGTATGTATGTCCCTCAGATCTCATATTCTTTCATTTACTTCAAATTTTTATTAGATTTTACAGAAGCATTTATTTCTATGTTTGTCTTGGTTTATTTTGTTCTTGGTGTCTATCAATTGGTGACAAATTTGGCATGTGATATCTCTCCGAAGACTTATGCGAAGGTTAACTGTAACCTCATAGCTTCAAAGGTACTGCCTTTTTTTAATCTATGTTGTTAGATTTTTACTTTGTTTTTTCGTTTTTTTAATGTTTAATTGATAACTTGAGATTTTCTGCTAAAAGATTAGGATTGAGGGAATTTGAGAGGGATGGATCACATTTTGACATATGAAGTTTGTGTAATTGATGCTTATGTGTGGAATAAGGTGGTGAAAGCTGCCTCTAAGCATTTCAAGAAAAAAGAAGATCAGATGGATCATGTGATGTTCTTCACTTATTTAAGCATTTCAATTGGTGACAAGTTTGTGTAATTTGTTAAATTCGTTTAATTGTCTTCCTAATATGCATTAGGAGTAGGAGTGACATTACTTTGTAGAAGAAATATGTTCTTTGGTTATTTTAAAATTAATTATGTGTGAATTTACTTGGAAATGTTCATATGAATTTGGCATAATAGCATTTCACTGTTTTTTTTTTTTTCAGACAACTTGGTGGAGATCAGATATCTGATGTGTTTGATCAGCATCTCCATGTTGCTTTGAGTAAGCGCCTCCTGTTTATATGGAAACACTAATTGAGTAATGTGAAATATGTGTAACTGTTGAGTCATGTTTCTTTAAAATATTATTTATAAGTATACAGTTTCAGAGATACGCACATTTATATGTATAGATTAATAATCGTACGGTAGTCCAAACCTTTAGTTTTGTGTTGAATATCCATAAAGAAAAAACCATTTCAAACTAATTTATGCTTCCCAAAGATACACTAAAATCATCTTTTCAATTTTCTTCCCACCAAACAAACAAGTTAAACAAGATGAGAAGAGATTAATTAACTAGAAGTCCAAATTTCTAAACCCACTAAAAACCCTCGAGTCAAACAACAACAAACTTTCTTTCACTAAATGGGGTCGGTTGTATAAATCTTAGAATGTCATTGTGCATGAGTTTTGTGCAAAATCTTTCCTCAACTCCAAGTACTTTATGTATTTTTAAAAGTCTATTTTCAAGTCTTCATAGATTTTTCTCTACCCATTTTGCCTTGAACCTCTGTCTCATAATGGTATTTTCTAATCGGAACATATGTAGCTATAGGTCTTCATTTCACATGTCCAACCACCTTAATCGATTTTCTCTCATCTTATCTTCAATTGCGGACACTCATACTTTATCTAGAATATCCTCGTTCTTAACCTTATCATTTTTTCATGTGCACACATATCCAACAAAGCATTTTCATCTTCGTTGCACTCATTTTCTTCACGTGTTAATGCTTGACAGCCCAACATTCCGTGTCGTAAAGCATTGTTGACCTTATTGCAGTCTTATAAAATTTTTCCTTGAGCTTTAGTAGCATACGAATGTCACACAACACACCCGATACACTTTTCTACTTCATCCATCCAACTTGTAAACTATGGTTGAAATCTCCATCCAGTTATCATTTCTTTTGCAAGATGATCAAAGATAACTAAAGGGTTCACTCTTTGATACTTTCTGATTTCCAATCCTTATTCTATCTCATTTGAAACCCAATTTTCATTGAATTATTTCGTATACTCTGTATTGAATTACTTAAGTAAGTAAAGACCTTTAAATTCCCACTAAAAATCCTCGAAACAAATGCAAAATTCCAGATTGACGTTCACATGCACGGTAGACATGGCTATGTTGTTAACTTGGTGAGCTATAAATCGGAGATCATTTTTCTAGGGATCCTGTGATTTCATTCGTTCATCATATATCGTGCAGTCAGTTTTCGTTAGGTATTATTTATAATTAATTTTAAATTTTAAATTTTAAAATAATTTATGACCGTACAATAATTTATGACTATACGATGTAAGATGAATGAATGAGATTACGGGATACCTAAGATCTCTAAGAAAATAATCCTTTTCCCTATAAATCAAGCAAACAATGATGAAAGCTCACATGGTTGCGAGTGCGTCTCACGCTCTAATCAGAGATCATAATCCAATGTCAGGCTGGTCCCGCACACATCAAACCTCTGACTCCCACCACCTACGTGGGAAAGAGTTATTGGTCCACGTGTAAGGTCTTGTCCAAAATAGAATCAAGAGTGAGGTGGGAAGCACATGGGGCGCTAAATTCGTGGACGTGACCCATGACGTGGGGGTTCAAGGAACATTTTTATATTCTTCTACATTATTTTACAAAAAATGAATTTTATTTCAAACATCCTAATGATTAAGGAAGTTTGTCTCAACAATTTTGGTAGTAGACAAGTGAGAATGTATCAATTAAAAAGGTAAAATCTCGATCACAAAATTCACAAGAAAAGATTTGGCTTTTGCTAGAAATTAAGCAACATGTTATTTCTAATTTGTTTCATTAAGACTATAATTTTATATGCTTCAAAGCTAAGTTCTAAAATGATAATTTGGTATCAAGTAGGTGTTTTATAATAGTTTCTGAGATTGACATAACTTTTTATTTTGATTTATAAGATTTGAGATCGATAGAAGTAGTCATGAGTTTATCAATCATCAATCATTTTGACAATTCTGTAAAAAAATATATGTTAAATAAGGACAAAAATGATAAAAATATTTTCAATTTAATAAATAATGGGTTAGAATGATTTGACAAAATTGAGAGTATTTTTTTTTATTTTATCCTTATTTAAGGAGGTTTTCACGAAATTACCAAAATGATTGATGATGGACAAACTCAAAGTTCAATCTCAGAACCAAATGAAGAGTTATATCAATCTCAAAAACTATTTTGATTATAAAATCTTTAATTAGTTAAGTATATTTACTGTAAACTTCAAATCTTATGTTCACTTTCATTTTGTAAAGAATTGAATCTGTGCAGCATTTATACATTGAGATTTTTTTTTTTTTTTGGTAAACATTTATACATTGACATTTAAACGATAATAAATAGTGCAGACTCAACACTACTATAAACAAATCACAACTAATTATAACAACTACAACTACTCTAAAACCTGTTCTGGTGTGATTGATGTCCAAGAGCAATCAATAAGCATGCATTACACCCTTCACCTCTCCCTAATATCGCGTCTATAGGAAAACCATCATTTTTTGCTTTAGCTAATATAAGGGGTGGATTCGTGATACTATTTTTTACATTTGACATACGTTTTTTATGTGGCATACTCTGTAATGTATTTTAACGATCTGACTCGTCTATCTTTTAGAACATCATTCATAGATCATCTTACAAAAAATTAAACAAATCCAAAACTATTAAAACATTCATTTGTAGTGAAGAGAACAGTTATACAAAGAAACCCTTTATCCAACGGTCGTATGAGTTTCAGATTTGGATGTTTTTTTGGTAAACATGATCTTTGAGGGAATATCTAAAATATAAACGATTCGGATCATTAAATTGCACTACGGAGTGGGATCTACAAAAATGTGTTAAAAGTCATGTAAAAAGAGTAATGTCACGTATCCTCCCATATATATATGTATATATTTGTACTGTACTAATATTTTACTTTGATAATCAGAGTTATACCAATTGGTGAATTTCTAGGTGAGTTTAAATCTTTTGCAAAGGCTCAGCATTGCCATCGATGTTGCTTGTGCTCTTGATTAGTCGATTATCTTCATAATCATTGTGAAACATCGATAGTTCATTGTGATCTGAAGCCAAGTACTGTTCTTTTGGACAACATGTTAACTAGACATGTTTATGACTTTGATTAGCAAGGTTTCTCTCATAACTGACCAGTATAAAAGCTTCAACAAATCAAACAAGTTCCGTTGGAATAACAGGACATTGGTTATGTGGTTTTAGGTAAATATTCACATCCTCTCCACAATATCCTTTTTATTTATTTTTAAATTTTGCATAATTCAACTATTTTGTTCTCAGTTTGCTAACAATATTTTATGATGTTTGAATGGCAGAGTATGGTATGGGAAGTGAGGCGTTTATAACTGGATATGTCTATAATTTTGAAATTCTCTTGCTAGAGATGTTTACAGAGAAGAGACCCACTGACAACGTGTTTAATGGAGACTTAAATCTTCATGTTACATTTTTCAATCAATGTTGTTGAGTCTTGAGCCTCCATGAAGTTTAAAAATTAAGAAAACTTGATTTCACTAGTAATTGTTAAAATTTAAAAAAAGGAAAACTAAAGAAAAAAAAACTTGAAAACTTTGAATGTTAACCAAAAATCATATAATAACTTTATTTAATGATTAGAACAAAAATCAACATTCAACCGGTGTAATCAAAATGGCACAAACAATAAATTTTCAATTTTGCCCCTCATGGCATGCCCTTCCCCGTTTAATGTCTCTCTCCCCCTTTAACGATCCTCCATCTTTTCTCTGCTATTGCTTTTATTTCCAATTCAATTTCACTTCCTTTGCAATCTCTCTCTCTCTCTCCAGCCAATCTCTCTTTCATTTTCAATTCGAATTCCACCGGTTCACAAATCAATTGAATCATCGAATCTGATAAGCCCGGGCAAGCAGCTCAGTATCGAGCCTCTGGAGCTCAGTTTTTCCTGTCAAATAGTACGCTCTCTTCTTGTTTCGGCTTCTTGTTTAAAAGATTTGCATATTTCTGATTTCGTTCCTGATTTCAATTCATGGTTTCTTTATTTTGTTATTGAATTTCTCCAATCGAATTAAAGATGAAGGTGAAGACTCCGGCAACCGGAAGCTGGAGCTGCTAGGCTTGGAGGGCAAATGACAAACGAGGAGGTCAAGAGCTTGAACAGACGGTCAGAGCTGTTTCTTCATGCTTTTGCTTTTCAATTTGTTAGGTGCTTCATTTGGAACCTCCTTTTTAATACGAGGGATGAGTTTTTATTATCTAATCATCTCTTAAAATTTCTTTTAATTACTTTTCCAGTACATATACATCTTAAATAGTTTTGTCGCAATCATCCAATTTCCATATGGGTTTGACCTCTTTTCATTGTTGACGTGGGATTCTAACTTTGTGAATGTTGATCTATCCCGAATGAGTTTTTAACTCGATTAAACTATAATACTATGTTTGATGTGTTCTGGATGGAATGAGTGGGTTGGGGCTTGTGGTTTTCAAATTTCATTACAGGAAGTTGTATTTGGGAATAGCATTGCATTGTTGTTATGAATTCTAATCTTGATTCTGAACAAACAAGCAAACAAAATCGTCAAATGTTTTTACATTTTTAGGATTGTTGGCAAATTGCTTAGCTGAGCAGGATGCACCAGCCTTTTCCTGGGCGACTCGCATTGCCTCACCTACATTTAGGTGCCTGATCATAGTTTTCTGAGACCTTTCTTTTTCCCTTTTGTTGTGGTTTGGATTGGGGGATGGTGTTTGTCTAAGCATTTAAAAGGTAATTGATATCCCATGTTTGACATGATAAGTGAAATTATTTTGGAGCTCAAATGGTAAGCTTGTGGATGAATGGTTGATATAATGGACAATTTAAAAAGTTTGATCCTTATCCTACCTTAACAAATACGTTCATTCTTATTAGTTCAAAGCATTCAATCCCTTTAGACTTCGGTCTTGGATCAGGAGGAATTTTGATCACAAATCTATTTGCCTTTATGGTCACGGTGATAAGTTAGAAAAATTATTTATCTTCTGGTTACTTGTTACATTGCCAACGTGGGTGGGTGTACGCTGGGTGGGTGTGAGAGGGCTCGGGAAGAGGGAGGTCCGAGAGTGAAAGGGAGAGTACTTGGGAGGGAGAGACGGGAGAGGAGTGAGAGTGATAGAGAGCTGAGGGAAAAGTAAGACACGCGGCCAAATGGGAGAGGGGACCAACATGGATGGGTCCCACAAACACAGATAAAATATACAATATTTAAAATATCCCTCAAGATTCGTAGTTTCATAAGATCTTCGTTTTAGCTCCAAACTGAGATCCGTTTGCGCCTACGCGTTTGTTCTATCGAGAACTACAAGGATACGCTGAGAGAATGGATCCTATGTCTCTCTAACCAAAGGCCAACGATAATGAAAAAACTTTGCATCTAGGGCATTTTCGTCAAACCACGTTTTTAAAATTAGTAAAATTGTAAATGTAGGGACGGATTGTCACGTAATTTTCAAGTAGAATGCACAATGGTTTAGTAAACCTTTCAAACACCCAACGATATAAGAACAAGCTCATCAATGCATCAATACACATGCTATATAGGAAAAAGGAAGATATAAGAGATTTTGCATATTCAAGATGAAATATGAACAAAGACAAAGAACTTGACATTAAAAAAAAAACTGATTAACTTTCAATTTCTACCGATATTATGTTCCCTATTAATATGAGATGGTGTACAAGATCTTCAACCTAATCAAAATTTCATACCCACATGAATGGTTGATGACTCTTTAGTCAACCTGCTACCCGAATCAAGGTCAGACCAAAACATGTTCTACAAAAATGTATAAAATGGGTTTTCACATTTCGACTCCATGAAATTGATTTTCTCTTAAACCTAATGAATTGCCTAAATGACTCAATGATATACACAAGTGTGCACCTGAACATGAAACTCCACATGATGCACACAAAAACTCAATTCAAATCTCGAATACCAGTTGGGTCCTACAATTTGCAAACAAACAATGTCAAACACGGAAAACATTGAGAATTAAATTAGCAATCGGCTTGAACACCAATAATCAATTTACTTACAGGCACACGCCGAAACGCTTCGTCAATCTCTTCTTTTGTGAGACCCTTCTTCTCGAAAAAATACCGTCTGTAAACAACAAGAGAGAGCCCCTAACTTTCGGGTGTGAAAGGAATTTCACAACATTTTGCACTTGTTCCTCCCTCATTGGTTCGGAATTCACAAACACCAACAGTGTAGAACTTTCCTGAGCGGGCTCTACCCGATCATCTTGCTGACCCACAATTATGAGTTGAGCAAGCCCTGCTGCTCAAGTTAACAACCACTATTATTATTTTCACATAAATTAGACTGCAGTTAATTTTGCAGAAATTGTGATTTCTTTCATAGGCCATCAATTCATTCAATCAATTCCACCAGGAACTAAATTTCCCTAAGCAAATTTTCAGTAAATTAACAAAAAGAAAACAATAATTTACATAACTAATAGAATATTCAAATTGTTCATTAAGTTTGCAATTGCATACTTCCTCAGAAACTATAAAAAGCCGTACCCAGTGGAAAATAAATAATAAAATTAAAGTAAAAAATGAAACAAAATTTAAGGAAATAAGAGAGAGAAAGAGAAACAGAAGGAGAGAGATGGCACCTGGGTTCTGCTCTTTGTCCTTCATGATGTTCCTAAGTCCAACTGAATCACTCAGCAGACAGAAAAAATACAAGAAAAAGTAAAAAAAATGAAAAAAATAATCAACAAAAACAGAATAAAGGCTTCTAATTGACAATAAAAAGCTTCTAATTTAAGGAAATCAGCCATCAGCAGCATCTCGGCCGGCCTCCTATTAACCTCAAACAAGAACACAGTCCTTCATACAAATCTCGGTTAATTTGATTCTATGAAGCAAAATCCAGATAAGACTTGAACATAAAAGCAAAACTCATCGAATCAAAATCAGCAATGCACAAACCCCAGTTTTTGTCCATCTTCTAGTACCTTTTGCAGTCGCTCTTCAAGCCATCTCTAATGATGGTCAGAACCATCTGCAACTCCTGTTTATCGGTGGAAGACTGGTCGAGATCGTCTCAGGCTTCTCGAACTCTTCCTCGTCCTTCACTTCCTTGTGGTCACGAGGGTAGCGCCCTCGCCGTCGTTCACGATCATACCGGGCTTACAAAATGAGAAAATAGCAAAGAGAAAAGGATAACAGACTAAGCAAACAGGGAAAGGTATTGCAGTCGGGGTAAAAGCGGAAACTCACTGCTTGGTTCAGTTTTATTGGACTGGTTTGATTTTGGATTTGTCATAACCATTAAATAAAGTTAATAAATAATTTTTTATTAAAATTCAAAGTTTTAAAACTCGTTTTATTAATTTTCCTTTGAAAAAAAGGTTTTTTGGAAGGTTGAAAGGTTTTTTGGAAGGTTGTAGGTCAGTGGTGGGATTGAATGGATGCCACATTAAAGGTTCACATCCAGGAGAGATTTTTCAATGCGATTGATACATTGGATGGTACACAATGTGTCACTATACAAATGGTGAGATATGTGTACTAAAAAGTTAGTAACTTAAAAAATAAAAATGTTCACTACTTCTATTAAAACACGTAATGTACCACTTTTGTACTCATCACAATGAAAATTTCTCCACAATATGTGGTTGATTTAGCAAAACACACATGTACATGTAGAAGGTGGGATCTCACTGGAATTCCTTGTGCCCATGGAATTGCTGCAATCTATAGAAAGGAGGACGATCCATACAAGTGTGTTCATTCTTGTTACAAGAAAGCAGCATACTTGAGAGCCTACAGTACTCCTTATATCCATGCCATGCATAGTCAAGAATTTTGGCCACCTACAAATCACCAACCCGTTGCACCTCCAAAGTATTATAAGCAAGCTGGTAGGCCAAAGAAGGTGAGGGCAAGAGAGCAAGCTGAGCCACAACCACCATCAACCTTAAACAAATTGCCTAAATGCTTCAGCAAGGTCACTTGTGGAATGTGTGGCAAGAAAGGTCATAATCGTACAACACGCGGGAAGAGGCAACGACAAGCTTCACAGGTTAAAGTAGCTTAATGGTTTCACTTATCGGCATTTTTAGTCACATATGGTTGTTATAAATTGGGGAAGATCATCTCATAGGTAGGGATGGGCAAAATATCCCGTTCATTTAAACTTCACGGTTACGGTTATGAGTATAATCGTTTATCCGTGAAATTTAAATGAGTGATTATAGATATTAACCGCAGTTATAAACAGGTAACCGTTTACCCATTTATTTCATAAATGGATGGTTATGGCCACGTTGATTGCCATTTGGCTGCTGCTGCTGCTTCATTATTGTTAGTATTTTTTATTATTTCTGGTGATGATCCGATGGTGTTCGTAAATGGTGAGCTTTTAGTGATTACTGTTTATGAAATTTTAGTAGTGGTCTGAGGGCTCAAAACATCATTTTTTTTTTTTGCTCTGGTCGACCATCGTGTGAGTGACTGCCTAATTTTTTCAATAAAAATAAATTCTATTAATTTGTTATACATGGGTTAGTAGATAGAAAAATATTATACACATGGGAAAAAATGTGGATAACCTTTCTTACGTGTAGACGGGTGAAAAGGAATAACCTTTTGTTATGTGTAGACGGGTGAAAAATGAGTAATAGTAAAAAAAAAGATAAACGGGTTAAAAGGGGTAAATGGGTAAACAGGTATTAAATGATTACGGTTAAATGGGTATGCGGTTATGGGTATGGTTAACCGTTTATAAATGGTTATGGGTATGAGTATAACCGTTTAGACAATTATCTAACAGGTAAACGGTTATGCGGGTATGAGCATAAACGGTTATGGATAAATAACCGCGGTTACCCGTCCGCCATAACCGTTGCCCATCCCTACTCATAGGCCTATGGTGAAGTTGGGAGAGTACAAACTTGTGCAACCAATTAAATCGACCATAACTCACCAACTACTTAAAGTGGGCAAACACTGAAGAAAGTTGAAGTTCCACCATAAAACCAATTGGCAATATGAGGAGTAGCCCAACTTGTTATAAGCCCATGCAAGGTCCATCATTCCATCAATGTGAGACTCATTCTTAATACGCTCCTCAAGTGTGGTGAATTTTCAAGCCTAACACATGGACAACACAACGGGGTGACGTGGCGCACGTGTGGCCGTTGGACTTCACACGTGGAACAACCTGCTCTGATACCATGAAGAAAGTTGAGGTTCCACCATAAAACCAATTGACAATATAAGGAGCAGCCCAACCTATTATAAGCCCATGTAAGGTCCATCCTCCCATTAATGTGGACTAATCTCAACAAACACAAGCAATGGTGTGCTCATTGAAAACTTTGGTATTTTAAATTTTAATCTTGTATTTATAGACGGGTGTATGTGTAATTCTTTTTATTGATCATTTTGTAGCATGCCACTGGAGGAAATATGGGAAGTGAAACTCCACCAAATCAGGGACAAGAACAATCTGCATCTAATGCCATCTGTTAATTTTTCTGGTTTTTTATTTTTACTTTTATTGTTTGTAGGTTTCTAAAAGGGGTAGAGTGATACAAATTGCAAGAGGCAAGTCAGTGCACAATTCAAAAAAGCCACCTAAAAACCATAGAATCTGAAGCCACCTAAAAACCATGGAATCTGAAGAAATCATTTGGAAATTTAGACTTTTTGTTAATGTCATTTTTTTCTTTTTTGGATGAAGACAATGTTGTGAACGTTAAGCCCTCAGTATTGGTGTTTTTTATTTTGAAGACAATGGATGAAGACAATGTTGCTCAAAATATGTTAAGATACAAAAGTGGGTGTGTTTAGTTTAGCATGTCACGAAATCGAATTTTATATAGGCTCTATAATTTGAGAAACGGGTTGAGGTTTGGTGTTAGAAATGGAGTTGCAAATATATATACGCTACTCAAACACAACTATCCACATGAATACTCTCTAACACAAATTTTAAGGGTTTTACTAAAGAAAAATAAAAATTTGTTAAATATCATAAAATGACATAAATAACCCTGAACACAAGTTATGTGCGAGGCACATGACTTATTTTGAATGGAAAACTTAACGGAGTTAGGATGAGATAACAAATTGATGATTTCGACAAGTTGGTATGACAAATTGCTTGAAATTTTAGTTTATATGATACATTGAAAAAGGTGTGCAAGTTCATATGACATTTTAAAAATTTTCCCTTGGGAACATTATGGTCCCTACGTCCAGCCAAATAATAAGGTTTTTGATGAGATAATGCATGCCAACTTGAGCATTATAATGTTCATGATTTTGTTTGCGTCTATACATATATTTACTCTGTAAATATAGATTAGGTCGGTTGGTAAGGCATTGTATCTGTCGTGTTCTTATATTCAAGTTTAAATTCTTCTCTCGTAAGTTATAGTTTATAATATTGTCTTATCAAAACTAAAGATACTTATAGTGGGATATATTTTGCTTAAGTATGTATGTTTGCAAGATTAAATGAAAACCTCCAAAATGTATGGGGTTTAATTGAATTCTAAACACCACCACCACCCTCATATAATTACGGCAAAAGGCGAATTTAGGAGGGCTCCTTTCAATCATCTTGTACCCCTGCATATTATTGTGATTCAATGAAGCTTCCCGTTAAATGAACTGCACCAAATAGGGGAAACATTTTTTGATCTCTGTGTCCGGAGCCAATAAACACAGAGATCTAGATCACTCATTTTAAATCAAACGATTCTAAATAGCTCATTTTATTTCCCGTTCTCACACAAAGCACGAGTTCAGATCTCACTCTCTTTAACTACCTGGATATCCGAGTTCTTGAACTTCGAAAACAAAAATTCGAAAAGGATCTCGACTCCAAATAAGGTAGCCCCAAAAATAAGGGAAACCCCACCCCACCCCCAAAAAAACACCCACCCACAACAAACGTACAACTAAAAGTAAAGCTTTATGAGGGGTCGCTCTAAAATTGTTCTTAAAATTAAAGGAAAACTAACGAAAAGTCCAAATTTTTTTTAGTTTTAATGAAAAATGACAAATAAAGGTGTCGTGAATAATGACAAATAAAGGTGTCGTGAATAGTGTCACAGCCCGTCCTGGAATTTTAATTCCGAGGACGTGAGATGACCAATGTGACCTTAAACGGGATTAAGGTGTGTAAATGTATGACATTTGTTTTACTTTAAGATCCTAAACTAGGGTTAGATTTATATTTGTATGTGTTAATTTGTGCTTGGACTTAGGTAGGGCCTCCTACCCTGAATTCCCTCCCTAAAACCCGTAACCTTTCTTCTCTCTTCTTCTTTCATTCCAGACTCTCTCTCTCTCTTATTCTTTTCTGAAAACTCTCTCATTCTCTCTCTTACTCTCGAACTCACGGCAACCACCAAGAACCACCACAATCTTGTACCAACGTTTTGAGAAATGTTTGGATTTGGAAAAGAATTGTTTTACTGACCCACTCAATTTTGGTTTTGCGCCCCTCCAGGTTCAGGAATCACAAAGGTGTGGTGACTACGAGGAATTCGACGGTGTTCTGACAGATTGGACAAAATTAGGACTCACCTTCGGGTGTATCAATTTAAATTGTATCTTAAAGCTTCCGTACTGTGCAAATGGTTACGTCACTCTCACGTGACGGCCAGCATGCCCTCCTTCGGGACGGGGTGTGTCAGTTGGTATCAGAGCCAGGTTGCAATCTTGGACATCTTGAGAAGTTTCTAGTGAATTCTGTCAGAACTACACCGCCTCGTAGCAAACCACGTAGTTAGAGGAACTTAGTCTCCCTGATTTAGCGGGTTAGGGGAAACTATTCTTATGGTGATTCAGTATATTAGAAAAATGGACATTTTAAGACGGGTTATGAGTTGAATTTGAATCACTTAAGAGAAATGATGAACCTGAGGGAACAAAGTGACGGATTAACCAATTGGAAAAGATGTTTCGGAATATGCAAGTCAAAGGAATCTTCCTTCTGACAAGGGGTCGAGACGACTACCTGGTTTTGGTTATGAATTTGTATCCTGGTGGAAACAGGAGTATGAATTGTTGTCACCAGAGGAATCAGTCGATTGAGAATTGTTTAAGGACTTGTTTAAAGGAAAAGTTTATCCCTCCGGCATTTATCGATGGTAGTAAACAAGAGTTTACAAATATGAGACAAGGAAGGTGATGATCGAGGGATATTATAGAAAGTTTTCAGACTTGCCTCGTTCCATCCAGATATTGTTGTTAATTTGGTGGAGGTGTTATGTTGTTTTAAGCTGGGTGGCAAAAAGGGAAGTGGTATTTTGGGTGACCACTGGTGACCACTATCCATTGTAGTTCTTATCAGGAGTATGCTAGATGTTGTTGAATCTTGAGGACTCTGAGAACATGAGCAACGAGAATAAAGAAGAATAAGAAATGAATGGGGAATTAAAAGAAGACGATAAAGTTAATGATTCGTCATATCAAGGATATAGAAAGATTTAGAGCTTCGAAAGAAGTGAAGCTAGAGTTAATTCTTCTAGCTGAGGTTTTAATGTCGCTGGTCAGAATAAAAGTGATGGATATACTGGTAATCCCAGATATTTGAGACAAGGTGTCTCGAGTAAAGGAAATGTACCTTGTGCTGCAGGTACAAAAATTAACACTTTGGGAAGTGTGAAATTAATGAATGTGTTTATGTGAACAGAGGGGACACAGAATTGTGAATCGTCCCTAGAATCAGTTGTACTCAATAATTTTCCATGATATCATAGTGTCGATTCAGAAGAGTTATAAACTTAGTAGTTTGGTCGGATTGACTGTGAGTACAGAGAGAGATTTGATGAGTTATATGTTCAGCTGTACAGACCATGAGAAGTGGATTCGACTGACACATGCGAAATTTGTGAGTTATAGGCTCGGCCGTACCGACCACGCGGAGTGGATCCGGCCGACGTATTATTGAGATAAGAGTTGAATCAGTCGTATTGATCATTCTAGTTGACTTCGGCTGATATATTTCTTATTATGTATGTTATTACCTTGAGAGTAGTAAATAAATGTAGTTGAGATGAGTGTATGTATTTTGCATTGAGTGACAAAATAGTAATGTTATATCTTTGAGAGTGGTTGCCTACTTATCGAGACAACGATGATTTATCAGTATTGCGAGCTGCAGACCGTAATATTAATAACTCATTCGTGGATTCGTTAAGTAAGTAAACCGGTAGATTATTTTGTACTTATTCAGAATGCTTAGTAGTAATAGAGTATGTATTGTGTCGGTTAAATTATTTCCATTAGATTGGTTGGTTATAATTGTGACAAGACGGAATGTTAAGGGAAACCAGTACTTTCCATCGATCTGGATGACCAGAGATTACTTTTGTAAGTATGCAAAGTGGATTGAGTTCAGCCATTATTTATGCTGTGTGAGAGCAAAGAGATTGTTTTCGAAAGGCTGTCAAAAATACTTAGCTCATGTGGTGCTAAAATGATTGTTTGGAGTAGTGTGAATAATGTCGAAAGAGTTAGACTTTTCTTGATGTCTTCCGTGAAAGTATACCTGGATTGCCTTCAGGCAGAGATATGAGGTTCATTATTGATTTTGTTGCCAGGTATAAAATTTTATATTGGAGATTGGTTCAGGATGAGTTAAGGGAATTGGAAATTCAGTTGAGAGAATTGGTTGATAAAAGTTTTATTCAACCTAGTACAACACTTTTGAGGAGCCCAGTTTGTTGGTGAGGAAGAAAAATGGATCTTGAGACTGTTAATTGATTATAGACAATGGAGTCGGGTAACGATTGAGAACCGTTATCCATGGTGATGTACTGATGTTTATTTAACCAGCTCAGAAGTAATTGCGAAGATTCAAAGATTGAATTGAGATCTGGTTACTACCAATTGAATATTATAAGTGACGTTGATCATAAGATGGTTTCTGGACTTGTTATGGTCCTTATAAAGTTTGGTGATGCTATGTGGATACTCATGCGGTTTTATGAGTTATTGGATGAAGTATTCCAATAATGCCTTGATAAATAGATATCATTTTCATTGAAGATATTCTGGTATACTCTAAGCCTAGAGCAGAGCATGTAAACGTATTAAGTCGGTGAAGCAAAGATTAAGAGAACGTTGGTTGTATGCTAAGTTTAGCAAATGCGAATGTTGGATGAATCAAGTGGCATTCTGAGATTGGTTATATCTGCTTAAGGTATTCAAATGAATTCTTAAAAGGCAGCAGAATTGAGAAATTGGAAACAACCACGAGTCGTAATTGAGATTTGGAATTTCTTAGCTTACCAGGCTATCTTGGATGGTTGTGAAAGATTTTTCAGTCATTGCTTTGTCATTGACGAGACTGTTGAGAAAAGAGGTTAGGTATGAGTGGGAAGGAATTGTAAGCAAAGGATTCAACAACTGAAGTATTTCCTCCCTCATGCACGTATTTTGGTATTCCCAGAGAATAGTGGTAATCATAAATTTTTAGTGATGTTTTCTTGAATGGTATTGGAGGCATGTTGATGCAAATGTTAGGG